GCACAAATAGGCCACAATGGAAATATTAACCAATTCCAAAAAGTAGAACTCATTTGTGTATTTCTTCTTCTTACCCTGCTTGGGGTGTGTAAGTCTTCTTGAATCTGTGGATTAGTGAGTTTCATTAGTTTTGGAAAAAATTAAGCTATTACCTCTTCAAATATTGCTTTTATTCTCTTTCCTCTCCTTTTTGAGACTCTGATTAAATACTTGTTAGATCTTTTCACTGTCTTCCATGTCTCTTAATCTCTTTTCTATTTTTTCTGTCTCTTTCTTTCCTTAATGCGTTAATGGATGATTTCTTCTGATCTAACCTCTGGTGTTTGAATTGTTTTTTTTAGGTCCAGTATGCTGCTAAATATGTCCACTGAGTTTTTAAATTTTGCCTTGGTGTTTTCCGTTTCTAGAAGTAATGTTTGTTCTTTATTCGTATTTGATATGTTATTTTTTAAATAGATTTTTATACCCTGCAGATATTTTTGTTTGTCCTATTTGTTTAAATAGATAAGCATTATTATTTTAAAATCTGTGTCCAGTAATTCCAGTAGCTGAAGTCTGTGAGGGATGTTTCTGCTTGTTGTTGTTCATTTTGTTTTATTTCTTTATGTGCATGGTTATCTATGCCTGCTTCTTGGTTGTTGTCATTGAATTATTTGTAGGGTTCTCCAAGGCCAAGGTGGATTTGCCCTCCTTTAGAGAGGCTTTGATTTGGCTTCTGCTGGATCCTGTAAACATTGCCATTAGGAATGCCTCAAGCATAACAGTCTTTGGTCTGGCCAAGCGTAAAGGTCTTTTGGTCTCCAGGGTGCAGTCTCCCCTAGGATTGGTTTCAACAACTTCTGTAGGATGGTTTGCTTCTACCCCCTTTTCCTTTTTTCTTATCTTTTTCTGACTTCTGTGTAGTTGTTCTCATCCTGAGACTAAAAGAGCTCTTTGGGAGTGGGCTGGGTGTGAGCTTCACGTGGGGATGACCTCCTCCAAAGACTCTTAATACTGGGCTGCCTTGGGCTTTGAATGCTGTCCCTCTTTTCTCATTTGTCTCTCTCTCTCCATTTGTTGTTACTCAGACTTTTCACTTATCTCTCTGGATTTTGACTTCCATCCAAAAATTGACTTGGAACTTCCCCCCTGCAGATCATTATTGTTGTTAAGATGTTGGTTAAAAAAAAAAAAATTTTATATAGTATTTTTCATTGTCTTTAGCAAGAGGAAAAGTTAAAGCTGTAAATGCATTTATTGGAAAATGAAGACAAAAATAAACTAACTTATTTCCAGGTTAAGAAACCAGAAAAAGAATAAACATTGTGACAGTGAAAGACAAAGATTAAGCAGAATTTAGTGAAGTAGAAAACAAATAGTATTTCAATAAAAATTAGATCTGGTTCTCTGAAAAGACCAATAAAATAATCAAACTATTGGCAAGTCTTGTCAGAAAATAGAGAGAAGACACATGTAAATACATCAGGAATAAAAGTGGAAACATAGCTACATATATGACAGAATTAAAGTGATTACACTAGAGACTATAAACCATCTTAATTAGTTTGACAATTTATCATCAAATTAACACTTAAAAATGTTTTGCACATTAAAAATGCTTCTCCATAGGTGCTCTATTTAGCTTTAGTTTGATATATAACACACAACAGTACCTTTAAAGAAAAATTTTCTGCATGTAATTTTTCAATTGAATCTATATTCCTAGAAAATGAAGTTCAACGTATGTGTTTCAGTCAAAAAGTAGACCAGATGTGTTTTTCTTTATATTCATTTTTAGTGCTACTATTTCTAGTTTTTTGGGTCACATGCTCTTTCTGCAGTTATTCAAATTATGTGTGTTCATCTCCCATCTTTAGTCTACTTCCCTTCCTTATTTCATTGTATCAACTTATTAATTTTCTGTCATTGGGTTTGTAGACTAGGTGTTTATGATGGGGTACGTGTGGGGGAACTGTCATGGAATGCATGCTTTCTGACTTTTTGTGAAACTTTTAGACAAGTTAAGGCTAATAAGATTTGGTATATTTGCTATTTGTGTTTAGACTAAATTAGCATGTTTTATATTGTCTAGAAAAATTTATTTAATTCTTTCTAGCAACAGAGATGCAGCTTCACAAATATGTTAAAATTAAAAAGCTAGTATTTATAACTGCCTTTAAGTTGCTGGGGAATAAGAGATATTTGAAGGGTAAATCATAGTTAACTAGTTTGTCCTGTTGTTCTCCTGTATTGGTATCTTTTGCATTGTGTAGCAGTTATGTTCCAAAAAAGTTGCCTTTGAAGACTGATGGAAGTATATTTCCATAGAAAAAAACTTGGAATAACAAAGAAGAAAGACTAGGATAACCAGTGTTATATACTCAACATGGTAGTGCATAAGTAGTATACATGATGAGGGTTGATATTGCAACTTAATTTTTGGTACTTGTCATTCTCCATCATTTTTTGTGTGTTTGTGCATGTTTTTGCTTTTATATTCTTTGCATTATCTTTTATCAGGATTTTACAATGTCAGAGAATGTTAGCAAAGAAAAAACCTTTGAGTGCTTATCAAATCCCTCATGTTCTCAGAAGAATCTGAGACTAGAATCAGTGTTTCTCAAACTGTCTTTGATGAAGAACCAGATTTGCACGTCCTCCTCTCCCCCAGTTTATTGAGAACTGATACAGGATCCTGTTATGCATGCCTAGTACCCAGCTTGTGTCGTGTGATTTGCCACCTAAATTCGGTAACAACCACACTGATAAATATCTTATTCTGCAGTCTACTGATGACATACTTGAATGTTGTCGCAATGTTAAGTTGCTATAAAAATTTCCAAATGCTTGTTCTCAATTTTTGTGTTTTTCTTATCATGGACTGGTAAATGCAGTGCATGCACCACACTTTGAAATGGAACTAGGAGCAATGTATCCTTGATCCACTGTAAATGTTAGTGAAGGACAACAGCTTTCAAATGAACTTAATGATAAATACTCCAAAAGGAGCTACCCAGAAATCCTGTGGTAGAAAACAGCTTTTCCATGTGCAAATGAAAAATTTAAGTAAACTTATGGAAAGGTATTTTAATTGGTTTTTGTCTAGTTCATTTTTATATCTGTGCCTTTATAGCTCCAAATAGCTTCATGGGATTAAAATCATCCAGACAAAGATTTGAAAAGAGATACTATAGGTAGAGAAAGGTGAATGGAGGAGAGAGAGAAACTTTAATGGGAAAGTTTCCATCATTGATTGAAGAATTGAACTTATAATAGATCTTTAACCATTTGGTTCCTTAAATTAAGATGCAAGAACATTTTGAAATAAGAATTTTTTAAGGAAAATTAGCAGTGCTAAATTTCCAGTTCTAGAGAGTAGCTTGGTGTTCATTTGGCAAATTTTTATAGAGCTTCTAAAATGTGTGATACTAACTTTATATTTGATCCTGGAGAAAGTCCTCAGGTCATGCAAAATTATTGAGTCAGCTGTTTTGTATGCCTCGCACTCACAAGTAAGTTGGAGTATGCCAAATAGGATTAATTAGGTAGAAGATTCAGAGTTTTTAATGTAGGAATCGAATGGTATGGGTGGTTACATCCTGCAGAAGCACTGAGAGTTATGCCTGAATATTTAAGAATAGAGTTTCTGGAGACCTTATGGTATTATTAGTAGAAGTTGAGGAACATAAAGGGAAATCTTACTTCCTTGATTGCCTTTCATCATTAATCTGAGTGTGTTCACAAATTTGAAGGTTTGGGTTTTTGGTTTTTACTTATATATGAAAACAACTTTATGTTAAAGGCATAGCAAGTTTTCAGGCTTTTGGATACTCCTTCTACTCTTTGTTATTCCCACTTTTTTTCTTAATGACGTTGTTTCTGTTGGTCCCCACTCCCGTGTTCTGATAGGCACAATTTCCCAACCAATTGTGGTTCCCATTTCTGGAATCTCTTCATATCCAGTTTTAGATATTACTGTATTTAATGTGTCCCATCTTCCATTTGTTATTAACTATTTTTTATTAATAGTAATAACAACTGACTTATTGAATGCTTATGTGCAGGACACAGTTTTAATCACTTTATAAGTGTATTATCTTTTTAAACTCTCACAGAAACCTTCTGAATAAAGTACTGGGATTCCCATTTTACAGAAGAGAAGACTGAGGGAGACAGGTCACATAACTTAGCCAAGGTCTCTCAGATAGTAAAGAGTGAGCCAAGATTCAAAGCCAGGAGGTGTGAGTCTACAGCTCTTATTTAGTAGCCTTGGCATTAGCAGTAGGAATAAAAACAATATTGTAATGACAAGAAAGGAAAAAATTACAACAGTGTAATTGTTCGTATTTATTGAGGGATTACTGTGTGCCAATTGCAATAATTGCTTCGTGAGTGTTGTTTTATTTTTACACAAGCCTCAAGATTATTTTCACTTTACTTATGAGGATACTGAGGCATAGAGTTTACTTAACTTGCCTAAGGCCATGTGCCCTGTAAGTGTTGAAACTAAATTCAACGTCCTGAGCCAGAGTATCTATGTATTGTTTATTTGCCTATCTGTGTCCCTCTTAGATTAGGAATGTATTGAAGAACAAGTAATTCATTAATCTTCTGTCACATAGTAGGTTTTCATTAAGTATTTGTTGATTGTAATACATAAACCCATATTTAGATTAGAGAACTTATACTCTTTGCCTCTTACACAGCACCTTAGAAACTTAATTTTTTTGTGAACTGTGTGCTGGGGGCCATAGAGAATACCAAGATTGGTTTTTTTATGTTAGGATCTTTGATGTGGTTTAAGTTTTAGTGCTAAAAGTGGTCTGTGCTAAGCTCTAAAAAATTAAGTATTTTAAAATGATTTTATTTAACATTTAACTTTTATTAAATAGAAAATATTTTAAGCAGTTAAAAGATTCAGAAAAAGGGAGATGTAACAACAACATCCAGAATTTGATAATTTTTCATGTAGTTTTTCTATTTATTTAATGCTAATTTCTATGTTTGCTTTATGCTTAAAGCCATATCCAGAAGACCCAGCAGTTTATAAACCACTCTCCCAGGAGGAACTGCAAAGGATAAAGAATGAGAAAAAACAGAAACAAAATGAGAGAAAACAGAAAATATCAGAAAATCGCAAACATTTGGCTAGTGTACGTGTTGTACAAAAAAACCTCGTCTTTGTTGTAGGTCTGTCTCAGCGCCTGGCAGACCCAGAGGTAAGTCCTCTTCTGTTTTCTTTCTCAACTTGACATTTTTTCTTTTTGCTTATCTTATTTGGAAATAGCAGCTGACCCTACCCAACTGCAGGATTCCCCTGAAAATATTAAAACTTAGAAGAAAATGGGAAATGATTTTTTAATAATTACTAAGAAAGTAGTGACGAGTTGTCATCTTAGGCAAGTGTCTTAATCTTTCTTGGCCTCATTTTCTTCAGTTATAAAACTAGGCAGTTCAACTGGATCTCTCAAGTCCCCTTTAGTGCCAATAGTCTGTGAAAGCTGGATAGTGGTTCTGTTTTGCTGTAAAGGCTAACATGTGGCAGGACTACTCTGTTTCTTTCCTCTTTTCTGTAGCTATGAAAGGTCCAGGGATGCTAGCATTAGTAGGGTATATGATCTTCAGGAGACCAGGTTCTTTTTAAAGCCAAAGGGTTGGGTCTAGAGTTCATACAAGAAAAGATTTCTTCAATAAGAGATGTTAAGGAGAGAGCTCGTTTTTGGCCTATGAGTCAACCTCAGCAGCCACTTCTTTCTTTTTCTAAGCTAGTGCTTAACTCCCCAGGCAGGCAGAATCCCATTTCACCCTTGACCATTTCCTTGAACATGGTCACACCTTTGCACCAACCCCTCTGGTCTCCCTCTTTTAGCTCTGCCTTTTTTCTAACCAGAGGACGCTTCTTACCTTTGCAAGTTTTTTATTTACCTGCCTGTGTTCTAAGTTTATTGATTAGAATCTGCTTTTGCATTTCTGAAACTGCTACTCCTATGAACGAACTTTTGTTTTGATGGATATGGATGTACTTGATTTTGTTAATACATCCTGAGTCCAGTCAACTGTTGTACCAGAGGCGTACGGAGCAGCACCTGAAGGCTGGGTAAAATTAAGCCATAATCTCAATCTAATGTTTGGATTATAGATTTCCTACCTCTTCTTTAGAATCTATGATTTGTTTTTATTTACTTACAGAGATTTCTTATTTCCTCTTCAAATAACATGTCTCCAGTAAGATTAATCTGAAGAATTATTACACAGAAAGAAATTAATCTAGGTGGTGACTAGTGTGAGAGAGCACTTTATCATGACTCTAAATGCACCTAAAAAATCACTACTAGTTTTATACTTTTGAAGTCATTGTTGCTTGGTGAGAGGACAATGAATTTTCTTAAACATTGGTTTGTCTCATTTATTTCTCTTGAAAGCCTAGGAATACCAGAGACCAGTGTTTTATTTATTAAATTCTACCACTTCTAAATAGTATCTTTAAAAATTCTCTTAATATATCTGTATAATCTTTTCAGGCTGGAAAACTTAACATCGGCTTCATTAGAAAACTCAGAGTTTCAAATTTTTAGTGTACCTTTCAAGTCAAAGAAGATCCCTATTATTTACTTATCTTTGGATGATGAACAATTTGACATTTGATTGAATTGTGATTAACAAAACTGATGAGTTTAGGAAAATTTAAAGCTTATTTTGAAAATATTTGTACATCAGAAAACTTCATGGCAAGCAAGGTTGATTGTCAAATATATTCATTTATTGATCAGTAGAAAAAAACTGTCAGAAAATATGTTAGAGGTAATAATTAGAGGTAATTGTCTTTTGTTGGAACCTAATTCATTCATTCTGTAAATTAACTCTTGAATACTTACTGTGTGTTAGGTTCTTTGATGTTGGAGATAAAGTAATTTAGCTGGCCAGACACAGTCTGTATCCTTAATAAGGTTGCAGACTAGTGAGGACAGAATTCAAGAACTTATAACTGTACTGAGCATTTATAAACAGGGAAGTAAAGGACTCTTTGGGAGCATAACAGTGGGGAACTTTGCTAGTATAGAGATCCGCCACCAGCCTCCTTGAGGAAAGGCTGATTAAGAATTACTAGGGATTAGCTAGGCAGCAAATAAGGACAAGAATGCTACCGGTGTGTGGTGGCCTGAGAGAGCAGCTTATTTGAGGAAGTAAAGACTTTAAAGACACAACCATTTCATTTTACAAATGAGAAACTGAGGCACAGGGAAGTTGAGTAACTTGCCTAGGATCACACAGCTGTTTCATAGCAGAGCCAGGACTAGAAAACACCCCTGGTCTTAAGGCTCCTATTCCAGTGTATTTTACGCTGATGATTGGTCTGTCGTTCATCCATCCATCCATTTATCCATTCATCATTCCATCTGCTTGCCATGGTTTTGATTTTCTCTGTAGTGTCCATGAACAGTTGACTGTGTCCAAAAAAATACATGGGAAGATATTTTACACATTAGGCATGCCATTGGGCATTTATAATTCTGTCACATGGCCTTTTATAGTCTGTGTAGGTGCTAAAGCTGACTCACTGTGAAGTAAATATGACATTGAATATACGGCTAATGTGGGGATGTGCAGGGTGCTCTGCCTACTCTCCATACTCTTTACTTTCTTTATTCACTAGAATACTATTTTGCTAGTTGACTGTTATGTTTAGGCTGAAAATTATTTGAATTTCTCTTGCCTGGGCAGGCCATTTCTTTCAGCCATAGACCACTTGCTAATACATTGAGGCCCACCAATGGTCTGTATGCATGTAATTCTTTTTGTTCAATGCTAAGACAGTTCAATTTTTAAATATGCATTTATTGAGTACCTACAATGTGCCAGGCCTTATGTAAGACACTAAGCATACATCAATAAAAAGCTAGTCCCTGCTTATTTACAAAAGTAACAGTATACTCTGAGGGGTGCTGTGTGCTATTGAGGCACAGAGATAGCACCTGACCTTGAGGGGGGAGGTATGTACTCCTCTGCTATCTTTGGGGTAAAGTGCTTCTGGCACAGGAACTGTACAAATGCTTCTGGATGAGAAAGAGCTCGGTCTGCAACTGATTTTTTTGGCTGGAAGATTAGAGTGCAATGGTGAGAGATGAGGCTGGCAAGGTAAGTGGTAACAGATTGTGAAGGGCTTACTGACCAGTTTAAGGAGTTTGCACTTGATCCTAAAGGCAGTAGGAAGCTATTGAATGTTTTAAAGAACAGAGTGAGATGGCTAGAGACATGGCTAGATTTGTGCTTTGAAAATATCGTTCTGGGTGTGGTGTGACATATCAGTGTAATTATATACAAATCTTGTGTTGTTATGAAGGTGTTATATCCAAATATTCACCAGAAACGATTTCCGTAAGCCAGTGGGGTTCAACCTTATCCGACCCAGTACCCACTTTATTTTAAACTAATATTTTATAATACCCTTTGACTTTCATGAAATAACTTCTTGATAATATAATCTGTCTACATATGTAATTTGAAAAAATATGTAAAGGAGAAATGAAAGAAAAGTAATTATAGAAAGACTTTTTCTACATGTGAATACTTGGGTGCTGCACTCTAGAACCTTGCTACTCAAGGTGTGGCCTCTGGGCCAGTAGCATTAGTATCACCTGGGAGCTTATTAAGCACACTCAGGCCCTGCCTCAGAGCTAGTGGATCCAGATATACATTTTAACTACATCCTCAAATGATTTGTATGTGTATCCAAGTTTGTGAAGTACTATTTTTCAGTACATAATAAAATAGTAAGATGCTTGCATCTGTTGGTAGAATCATGGTGAATGTGACGACTACAAATGCAGATTGTTACAGGTGTATGTATTGGCAACTCAGGTACCATGGTAATGATATGATTTTTCTGAAACAAATCTTAGTAAAATTCCAAACAAAGCACTTGTAGTTTTCCATTAATTACATATTATTTGCTTTCTTGTAAATTCAACGTTATGTCAAAACTGTGGGGAACTTCTTTGTGTTTATATATAATATGGAATTTGTTTCTAGGTGTACTTAATTATAAACAGGCTTCTCAGCTACATGAATGTCTTGTAGGACATTTCAAAAGTTATGCAGGATGCTTCTTTGTTGTGCAGGGCTAGTCTGAGCATTGTAAGCTGTCCCTGGCTCCGATCCACTGACCACAAACAGTGTCTCCCGGTCACTTTGACAACCTCCTGCAACCCTTCTTGAATGCTGCCTTCATTGAGAAGTACTGCCTTAAAACTCAGACGTGATATGCTGATGTAGCACAACCTGTGACCAGCCTGAACGTTTTGAAGCAGCTATTTTGGCTGTGAGGCCTTTTGCTGAGTTGGTGTGCATCCAGCTGCAATACTGAATGCAGTTCCACACTGCACTGACCAGAAAAACTTTTCAAAATATGCTCTTCCTACTTCTCAACCCTGAGACTTTGCTGTGAACAACCCGAGGGTCATTGCCTTCACCACTATAACTGTGATATCCCTCAGGGAATTTGAGTGGAAAAAAAGATTGAAAGCCAGTGTAACCACCTCACCTTCTAATTCATTAAAATTAGTTGTAAAAAACTAATTTTTTACAACAACGCCGGCCCCGTTTTTTACAACAACAAAAAACGGGGCCGGCCCCGTGGTATAGCGGTTAAGTGCGCGTGCTCTGCTGCTGGTGGCCCGGGTTCAGATCCCGGGCGCACACCGAGGCACCGCTGGTCAGGCCATGCTGTGGCAGCGTCCCACATAAAGTGGAGGAAGATAGGCACCCCAGATGTTAGCCCAGGGCCAGTCTTCCTCAGCACAAAGAGGAGGATTGGCATGGATGTTAGCTCAGGGCTGATCTTCCTCACAAAAACAAAAAA